TTCATGAAGTCTTAGTCGACCGAGTTCTAGACGAAATTCAACCGACTGATCCAGCGATTTGGGCCTCCTGGCCGTTAGATTCGTTTGCTTGATGTGATTCCGGCCGTCGGATCGAGCAGTGGGATGACCTGCGCCGTCGGATCGATTCGTTGCTCCTGTCGCACTCCTGTCACAATGAAAGTCACCATTTCCCTGGGTTTTCGCTTACTCTGCCGTTTTGAGCGTATTTCGCTGGTGTGTGGGGTTTCCGGCGTGTGGGCCGCCTTGTTCAGTGACCGTGGCTATGTGTTTTGGCTGTGTGGCCCGTGGGGCGCGTGGGCTGGCAAATATCTTGTGCCACCGCAAGAAATAACGTGCCCCCGTAGAGGGTATTTTGGTCTTTTCACATTTTGGCCTTGTGCGTGGTGGACGATGGTTGGTCCGTGCGTGGATGAGGTGGGGGAGGGCACTGGCTTGCCCCTTCGTGCTCCCATTCGCCCTTTCTCTCTGGATCCCCTCTTCTCTCCCATGATCCTCTCTCTCTTCCCCAACTGCCGCTGCCACCATGGTCGCCTGGTACCGGCCAGTTCCGGCAAAGTCCGTCACCATCCAGCACATCCACGAGGTCATCTCGTGACGCTGCTCCTTCTCCACCGTGTTGATCCATCGCGCCGCTCCTCTACGCGCGGGCCCGGCTAACCCTAGCACCGCGGTCATCGGTGCACTACACGGTGTCGCCATGGACGACGGCGCTACGCCTGCGGCTCCGATCGGTCCTCCCCGACACCGCCTAAGTCCTCCCGCACTGCATCGCCTCCTGGTCGTTGTTCCAGGCGCCTCCATCGACTGGAGGAACGATGGGCCCTCGTCCTTGTGCCAGTGCGCGTCCGTGAAGGAAACGAACCGAGATGTGCCGCCTCAGATCCACTGTGTGAAGGCAGCGGTGAGCGTTATCTCCACTTCCCCCATTTCCTCTCTCTCTCTCTATCTCTCTCTCTCTCTCTCTGTGTTCATCCGCTCGAGATTCAATTGGATATGTCAATTTGTTTTTTTTTTGCAGGGGGATGGATCACAATGGGAGAGGTGCAGTCCTCCAGAGCTGTTGGATCCCAAAATTGGAAGGTTTATTGATTTCCCATCTGATTTATTTGTGCCTCAGTTGAGATCATGCACTTGAATTATGTTGTTGATTGATGAAAAATTAGTAATGGACGACTGCAGTATAGTCCGTATCATGTCTTTCTTCCATTGTCTAGACACTAGATTAATTGTTGTTCAAGATAAAAATATCCTGTTGATTGTATGTACATGTATCAAATGAACCCGATGCTCCTGTACATATATCTTGTTCTGCTAATTTATTCATGGTTGACCAGGATAGTTGAAATGCAGCTAGCTATAAAAAATGCATTGATAACGCTTTTTGAGATACTATCTCAGATGATGGTCAATTAGATAGTAGTTTATAACATTGTGGTAGGAAAATCTATATAAGTCGTTTTGGCTGGTGTAAAGTTTGTGTGAAGATTGTTGTAAGCACCACTTGTGTGCTGATTTTACTCTTTCAAGTCCTAATTTAGTAGCTTACTTATGATGCATGTGCTTACTATTTCCATTTTGTGCGTTCGTATTCTGTCTCAGATGATGGCGATATGTTGCGAGGATGAGTGCTTCCCCATTTTCTGTTCTGTATGTGGTGGTCGATGTTTGTACCTCGCTCGGGCTAATTTCTTTGGTAATTCACATATGAAATCGTTAATTTCTTCCGTATTTGTTAGCCTGAAATACTTTGTCAAATATTGATTTCCTTGTTTGATCAAACAACACATGAACTCCAATGTGTACATGATACTTCCGTGGTCACGTTATTTTGTTCATGCCATGAGTTGACTAGAGAAAGATGGCGATGTTTTGCTTATCGTGGTTGTAAACCTGTATACTTAATGATGGTGTATTCTTATGTTAGCTAAAAGTGCTTCTGCTGTGTAGTTCGTCTAACCAAATTTGTAACAAATTTGTAGGGACCTAAAAACATAGATTGATATGTGATATTGTAATGAATACAAAGACAACATCAGCATGGCAGACTGCCATATAAGATAGAGTATAAGATAAAAGGACGGTCTGTTACTTCTCTCCGATTGCACATGGATAGTTTGATCTTGCGGTGCACGTGTAGTTTATTCACGGGGATGTATATGCATAATTCAGTAATGGATTGTTTGTTTTCTCCCTGCGAATACTAACTGCTAGCATATGAATTTATTTGCTGATTCTAACAAGATGCATCGCTATATCTATAATACAGTAAGCACCTCCTGAAGTTCTGAACTGTCAGGTGGTGCCCTTGCATAGTTGGCTGGTTCTCTTAATTTTCTTTTTCCCTGCATTCTATTTTCCTGGTTTTCCATCGCTCCAAAAGTGTACTTCAAAATGAGTGTGCATGTATTCAGTATTCAGAGAGATGGGGTACTATGTAGACATTCATTGTATTTGTTATGTACCTGGTTACTTAATAATCATTATGCCAGTTATGGTTACTTTGAAATCATTCTCTTAATAGTCATTATGTTCGACAGGTGCACGGGCTTTTAGATCTAAGGTTCACCGGCACACAAGGTATATCCAAAGACTTTAATCGGTCCTACTCTACTGCAGATCCCTGCTATTGTTGTTCAGTGTCTTGCTTGCAATACGAACTAGTGGACCCGTTGCGCCAAATGGCGCAGAGGCACGCTAAATCCATGTGCGCAATGAAAAAAAATATCCTTGGTTTAATCCCCTTTAATAGGAAACATCATGAACTGTTGTCTATGTTGAGATGTATATACATATTTTAATTTTATAGCACAAAATACTTGCTACCATGTTTGCAGAGACCCATTTGAAATCAATCATGTTCACACTGAAAACATTTGCATTTTCCAATGACTTTGTGTTTGAGCAAAAAATACATAGGCTCTTGTTTAAGAATGTATGTACCTTTAAAATCATTAAATGCTTTCAATATATTTTCATTAGTTAGGAGCTTTAGGTTTGAGCAAACATGTATGATTGGAGCTTTAGCCCTTCTGTATAAAAATAATACTACGAAACATCTCCATAATAGCTAGCTATGGTCTATGACATTTGTTTCATAACTATCAAACATGACTAAAACATCATTTCTATTGAATCACGTAGACTAAAGAAAAAAGGGGGATTAATCAATAGTTCAACACTAAAACATTATTTCGGAACCAATACAATATTTTAATCGATTTCTCACCTATGATATAAGAGGATGCAGATGGCAAGTAAAACCAAAATCAGTGTCACCTTGACGAATATGCAGAATTTGGCATGTTTGGCAATTGAAAAACATTCAAGGATACAATATCTTTGACTTTAGCACAAAGCGAAATATTGGTATAGTGCTCAAACAATCCCAAAATGGTATTAAGAAATGAGAAATGGTAAACTTGTTAACATTGTTCAAAATGGTAATTTAGAAACCTATCCTGGCCTTCCAGTTTATAGAAAGAAAAGAGACGGGAGCTTAGACAGACTTTACAAAATGCTAATTCATCCACTAAGCTTCTGCCAGAAATAAGCATGCATTGTAGATTCAGTAATTAACTATGTTGCATGGAGAACTTATTTTATCAGGGGCAGTCTATGTGACAACCTACCCCCAGTGACAAAGCTATAAACCTACCTCTAGTGAAAAAGCTATAAACTATCTAATGGACAAAAATAAAGCTTTCGACATTCTGCATACCATCTTTCCCTACCACAATGTGATGAAGCTCTGAAACTGTACACGCATGGCAATAGGAAAAATGAAGCTCTGGAATTGTACACGCTGTACAAAGCTATAAACTCTCTAATGGAGATGACTTTTTTAACCAAACTAAAGCCAGTGCATGGCATATGGTCAGAGCTAAGCGAGCACGCATACATTGTTTGAATTTGTAATGGCACACACGTTCCAAGAAAAAAAAACATGTGAAGAACCTAGTAGCATCAACCAGTTCCAACACCACCCTACACCTCAAATCCACATGCCCGTTGCATGGTGATTAAACACGCACTTCACAGGGGAGTGTATGATGCCAAAAGAACACCTGCATACAGCCACAATAGGACTTGGAAAGAAAAAGTCTGAACTACCTGTTAGATGTACAGACTAATTGTGCAGACTAATCATAATACCTAAGTTACCTCATCAGCCACTTAGATGTACATGTATCACAGCCCAGAGTGCAACACATTTTATAGCAGCAACATCAGATATCAAAATGCACTGCATCTCAGACTATCGATCCTTGATAAATAAACAAAAGCACATTCAACCTGGTTGTAGTTTCAAACAATCACATGGCAAATTCTGCCTACACACCTAAACTAAACCAGCAAGTTATGGTAGTGGCCCAGAGAAATAATTTAGAGAAGCGACATAAAGCAGAGGAGAAGGCAGATGGTAAATCATCGAAACTCAAAACAGGTTACAACACAAAAGATTTGTTTATTCCAGAAATATAAGTGAGCATTTGATGAGAGGAAAATACACTCTATTAAGGGAACTAGAACATTTCAAAATGCTCACCTAACATGCACAAAACAGAGATCAGCCATGTAATTTTATTGCCTGGTAGGTTATCATTTTTACTTTCCTTGTCCAGCGAAGAGGAGTCACAGTTTGCACGTACTATAGCTTCATTCGTATATCCTTGGAAAATAGAGCCAGGTGCAACATTTATACACCATTGTCTAATATCAGTTAATGAGAAAAAAGTAGTGGAACTAATAAGCACACAAATTCTCAAATCAATCTCCACAACATCGTCTGCAGAAAATTTTACAAAAGGAAAGGGCAATCTCTTCTTTTACCATACCAGAGGTACATCAAGTTCGTTTCATTTGCAGACAATAGGAAAAACCTTAATCCAACTGAAAGATGTACAATCCAGAAACAATGATGAACATCAGCTCTATTGACTTGTGTAGTTCCAGGGATAGCAAAAGTGCCTAATTAAATATTACATGTATATGACCTTGCGATTCTTAGGCTTTGTGAAGAACTGGAAAGTTGACTTTAGTCCAATCGTTAGCGGAACACCAGAGACGAAGAGAACCTGACATGAAATGCATGATAATTAGGATGCAATAGGTTAGAGCGAAGTATAAGTAAACCAGGAGGATGATTCTTACATTTCCCATTGCAAGGAACCCCTTGTCAAACAGCATGAGGATCCTAAGAAACGAGAAGAGAACTCCAAAAACCCGGTCAAGCCCAGCCCGATCTCTGTTGGAAAAATGTGAAATAATTAGAGCAAGAGTTCAGAGATGCAAGTGCATTGTACAGAACAAGTGTCACTTAGTTAAACTAAACATCCAACATGCATACTTAGAGAGTGCATTCAGAAGTAACTTTAGCAACCATTAGATGGTCCCTCCTGATTATATCTTCCTGGAAATTTGTACAACAACCAATGAACAAACAATAAAACACTAAATAACACGAATGGTTCTTATTCTGAGCATGAACAGATCTACACTATAATAATATGAAGTGAGGTTCGGTGAATAATACCTAGAGGAAGCAATTCTTGTTCCATCCAACCCTTCATCCAGCGCAGCAAGATGGATCCATATCCATAATTGGCGATGTATGAACAGCTGTTTCCTTCATTAAATCTAGACTGAGAACTGGGCAAATCTGTTTCCATGTACAACAGAGAGATAGATAAGGGGATGAGAGAGAGCATAGAAAGGAACGGGAAAGTACGTGCGCTTGGAGGGGGAGGCTAGCCTCACCAGCGTCCAGCTGTGGTGGTGAAGAGGAGCACGTGGACGACGACTGCCTCGACCAAAAGAACGACGACGGTGATGGATCTGACGGCCTCGGGCAGCCATTGTCAAGACCTACCCCTCGTCGGGGAGGGAAGAAGCGGTGCTACTCGTGTAGGCACGGCCGGGGCGATTGGATTCTGACATCCCCTTCCCCATCGTTCCTCTGCCTCCCTTCCTCCTCTCTGCTGCCCTGGCTCCGCCTGAGTCAGGCTGGGACGAGAGATGGAGCCATGGACGAGCCTAGCAGCGTCCGATGTGGGAGGGTGCGGCGGCTGCGGTGGCTGACGAGCGAGGAAGGAAGGAGGAGGAAGGGTGTGGGAGACGGCTGTGGAGATTGGGGGAAAAGAATCTAGGGTGCGGCATGCAAGAGGACAAGCGGTTCGACATCGTCGCACGTCCCGTTGTTTCCGCCTTTCCTCAACCACCACGCGTAGCGATCGGACAAGTTGACTTTCACCGAGGATCCAATTCACCCACGAAGGATCAGCTGTGACGCCCCCCGATTCAATCGTACACTAATCATACACGCAAATGTGTATGATCAAGATCAGGGACTCACGGGAAGATATCACAACACAACTCTACAAATAAAATAAGTCATACAAGCATCATATTACAAGTCAGGGGGCTCGAATACAAGAGCTCGATCATAGACGAGTCAGGGGAAGCAACAATATCTGAGTACAGACATAAGTTAAACAAGTTTGCCTTAAGAAGGCTAGCACAAATTGGTATACAGATCGAAAGAGGCGCAGGCCTCCTGCCTGGGATCCTCCTAAACTACTCCTGGTCGCCGTCAGCGGGCTGCACGTAGTAGTAGGCACCTCCAGTGTAGTAGAAGTCGTCGTCGACGGTGGCGTCTGGATCCTGGGCTCCAACATCTAGTTGCGACAATCAGGTAGAAGGGAAAGGGGGAAAAGGGAGAGAAAAGCAACCGTGAGTACTCATCCAAAGTACTCGCAAGCAAGGAGCTACACTACATATGTATGCATTGATATCAAATGGAATAAGGGTATCATATGTGGACTGAACTGCAGAATGACGGAATAAGAGGGGGATAGCTAGCCCTATCGAAGACTACGCTTTTGGTAACCTCCATCTTGCAGCAGGAGAAGAGAGTAGATGGTAAGTTCACCAAGTAGCATCACATAGCATAACCCTGACCGATGATCCTCTCCGCGTCGCCCTGATAGAGAGCGACCACCGGTTGTATCTGGCACTTGGAAGGGTGTGTTTTATTAAGTATCTGGTTCTAGTTGTCATAAGGTCAAGGTACAACTTCAAGTCGTCCTGTCACCGAAGATCACGGCTATTCGAATAGATTAACTTCCCTGCAGGGGTGCACCACATAACCCAACACGTTCGATCCCATTTGGCCGGACACACTTTTCTGGGTCATGCCCGGCCTCGGAAGATCAACACATCGCAGCCCTACCTAGGCACAACAGAGAGGTCAGCACGCCTGTCTAAATCCTATGGCGCAGGGGTCTGGGCCCATCGCCCATTGCACACCTGCACGTTGCGAGGGCGGTCGGAAGCAGAACTAGCCCCCTTAATACAAGAGCAGGCTTACGTTCCAATCCGGCGCGCGCCGCTCAGTCGCTAACGTCATGAAGGCTTCGGCTGATACCACGACGTCGAGTGCCCATAACTGTCCCCGCGTAGATGGCAGTGCGTATAGGCCAGTAGCCAGACTCAGATCAAATACCAAGATCTCGTTAAACGTGTTATTTTGAAATAACCACGAACGCCGACCAGGGCCAGGCCCACCTCTCTCCTAGGTGGTCTCAACCTGCCCTGTCGCTTCGCCACAAAGATCCACTCCGAGGGCCGTCGGGACAAGCGTCCTTTCGGACCCAATCCGTGGATCACTCGCGGGTACTCCTATGAGCCGACCCGTCTTTAGTCACCACAAGTATCATATATTATGTATAGGTATATACCCGTGATCACCTCCCGAGTGATCACGGCCCGATAGTATAGCATGGTAGACGGACAAGAATGTATGGCCACTGATGATAATCTAGCATCCTATACTAAGCATTAGGATTGCAGGTAAAGGTAACAACAGTAGTAGCAAGGACAGGCTATGCATCAGGATAGGATTAACGGAAAGCAGTAACATGCTACACTACTCTAATGCAAGCAGTAGAGAAAAGAATAGGTGATATCTGGTGACCAAAGGGGGGGGGCTTGCCTGGTTGCTCTGGCAAGAGAGAGGGGTCGTCAACTCCGTAGTCATACTGGGTAGCAGCAGCGTCGGTTTCGGTGTCTAGCGAGAGAAGAGGGGAAAGAAACAATAAATACAATGCTAACAGATGCATAGCGATGCATGACATGACAAGTATCGGTGCTAGGGGTGCCCTAACGCGGTATGAGGTGATACCGGTTAAGGGGGAAAACATCCGGGAAAGTATCCCCGGTGTTTCGCGTTTTCGGACAGAGGAGCCGGAGGGGGAAAGTTGCGAGTTCGATAGGTTAGGGCTGCGTGGCGGATGAACGGGCTGCGTATCCGGGCTCGTCTCGTCGTTCTGAGCAACTTTCATGTACAAAATTTTTTTCATCTGAGCTACGGTTTATTTTATATTAATTTTTAAAATTTTAAATCATTTTCTAAATTTATTATTAATTCGAATTAAAAGGGGAAATTGCTATGTGCACCCAGCAGAGTGCACACAGCGGGGCCACCGAAGGCTGACAGTGGGTCCAGGGGTCCCTGTTGACTCAGTCAACAGTGCAGTCTACAGTCAACTGCTTGACTATTGACTGGTCAAAAATGTAGATGGGGCCCAGGTGTCATTCACACATATCTTGCATTTTCTTTTTAAGTGGATATTTAGAGGAGGGGTCCACCTGTCATTTACACTATACCAAACCGCCGATTAGACTAACTAGTAGGAGTACTAATTAGCTAATGGAGAGCCGGCCGGCCACCACACCCACACACAAAATATACACACGCACACACAGTGCTAGGGATTAATTCTATTTTCTGTTGAGAAAAGATAGCATTTTGTGATTTTCATAGGAATTAATCCATGCATCAAATTGATTTGGTCCAATGGAAACATTTGAGCTTTGAGAAGTGTTCTACCTAGTCAAATTATTTTTACTCCTGTTAATCGTGGTTTTGCCACAGTTTAGAGGCTTTCCAAAGGGTTAGTCAGTGTAAAATTTGAAAAGCTAGCTAGTAGCTACACTAATTAGCAGCAGCAGTAGATTCAGAAGAGCAGCGGCGGCATGCACACGAGTTGGGCGCGGGGCGCGGCGCTGCACGGCGTGACGCTGGGCTGGTGAGCGACGCGGGGCGAGGGGCGAGGCAGGCCACGGTTGCAGGGCGGCTGGGCGCAGGCGGACGGACGCAGGGCCGGGCGCGGCCGGCGCGCGTGCACAGGCGGCAGCAGCAGGTTGCAGCAGCACGGCGAACGGGTGCGAGTGGAGCGCAGCACGGTAGCAGCGACAACAGCACAGCGCGGCTACGGCGGGCGCGACTGGGCGCGGGACAAGTGCGGCAACGGCGTCGTCGGACGGAGGCAGGCACAGGGCATGCGCCGGGGTGCCGGGTGCGGGAGGGCCGTAGGCGGCGCGCGGTGACGGATACAGGGGCCGCGGGGCGCATGCGGCGCGGCCAGCGCGGGGTCGGGGAGCTGCGGGCACATGACCAGGGGCATGGGGAGCACGACAGAGCCGTGGCGAACGCGAGCTGCGGTGGCTCCGGGCGCGGGGTGATAACGGCCTACGGCGGCGTCTCGAGGCGGGGAGAAGGAGAGAGAGGGAGTGGCGCTCACTGAGCAGGCACAAGGAGGCCCGTCGAGTGGTTTAGGAGTAGCAGAGGTGGCCGGCGTCGTCGTGGTTCGCCGGCGTTCCGAGGAGGAAGAAGTTTCGATCCAGCACTGCAACGGTGAGGAGCTCCAACGGGTGGCACCGGTCAATGTAGAGGATGACGACGAAGCGGGCGGATGTGGTCCTAGGCGTCGGGGCGCATGGTGGCCGCGGTAGGGCAAGATAACCGGCGACGCGGGCGCACCGCAAGGTGGATCTGGACGCGGGGGAGAGGAGAGTGTGGGGGCAGGGGGAGTGGATAAGGGGGAGCGCGAGGGCAAGTGGGAGGGGACGAGGGGAGCCCGAGGCGTCGCGGGATCTTATCCCCTCGCCCACGACGCCGGCGAGCTGGTCGGGTGGCGACCGCGACCGGGCGGTCGGTCGAACAGTGAGAAGACGACCGCGAGGGGGGGAGTGGGTTGGCTGGGACGTTGGGCCGGCTGGGTGGGCTTGGCCCAGGGGAAGAGTTTTTCTTTTATTTTAATTGTTTTGTTGTTTTTCTTTTTACAGTTCTAGTATTATTTTAATTTTGAGTAGCAATTAGCACTATAAAATACAGGAACAACACCTAATTTGCTTTTACTAATTATACCACTGCCACATTTAGTTTGAGGTTCAAATAAAATAGTTTAGTATTTTTATAATTTAAAAGCATTTAATAATTGTTTTTAGCCGCTGTTATATTCGTAAAAGAGCATTTAAATACTTTTACAAAAATGTTGGGTCAGCACCATAATTTGTTATGGAATATTTGACACACATTGAATATTTCATTATGCATGTTTGAGAAATTTGAATTTTGGACTTTAATTTGAATTGAATTTGAATTATGCTTTGGATCAAATGAGGATTAGCAACAATAGTGTGATGACATGGCACCATCAACAGGGGATTACTGTAGCTTAATTATCCGGGCGTCACATCAGCTGAACCTCATCTATCTACTATCCTATAAAAGAAAGAGAGGGCGGAGAACCAAATCATTCTATCCATTCAAACCTGCAATCTGATGGTCTATGTCGCTTCAAAAGACCAAACATGTTTTATGCTTTAATTACCCACCATGCCATTGGGTTACAATCCTCAAACACGTCCGGTAAAAAAAGCGCCCTCCCGCGACCACGCCCTCGGGCAGTTTGGTCCCTGCCCGACCTCTTTCCCCCACATACTCCCCGCCAGCCACCGCCGCCTCCGTCTGCACGCCACCGGACCGCCACGCCCACTCTCCAGTCGCCCGGTCC